TGGGAGAATGTGCCAGGCCCAGGCTGCAGCCTAGTGAGCTGGGTCTGGCCAGTGCCATGCCAGGCGGCCATCTGGACCTGTGGCGATGGGCCTCATGCCCCCCTCTCACAGACAGCCCAGGGGTGGATCCGGCCCACAGGTTGGTTAGCCCTGGACACGCCTCTTTTGTAAGCCACGCCCACCGCGTGGCCACGCCCTGGAGTGCTGAACAGCCCATCCCCCACCCCTGGCTTCAGTGGAACAGGGGCCTTCTCTTTGGCTGCTCCTCACGCTGGGGCCACGCCAGGGTCTGCCACTAACTCAGTGTGTAGCCAGACAGGTCTCTTCCCCACTCCTCCGGGCCCCCTGACCTACTTGGAGGGGCGGTGAGGTCTAGCAGCAGCACGTAGCAGAGGAAAAGCACTACAGCTGTGCCACGGTCGCTGTACCGGGCTCTGCCGCCGCCTCGGGGCTGGGCGGGTCTGAACACTTCCTGGCCCGGCTGTCACAGCTCGGGGCTCACGTTCGCACGCCCAGCCCGGGGCAGACCTGTGCGAGTAGCCGCACGGCCCCGATCTCACCGGGCTCCCTCTTGCACTAGGTGCTGCACAAGCAGAAATGACCCACTCCTTGCCCTCAGGGGCCACTGCCAACCCCAGTCACAAGCCACGACTCCCCAACACCCACACAAGCACATGGCCACAGCAGGGCTCACCAGTCAGGGCAAGCAATGGGCAAGCAAAGGGTAGGATGGGCGTCTCTGGGCCTGCTCTTGGCTGAGCAATAATACTGGGGTCTGGGGGTCCCCACAGGCCTTTGGGGGATCACCAAGCTGTGGCCGGGCCCGTGCAGGGGCCTTGCCCCCACTCCCTTGTCAGCAGTGAATCCCTGCCCTGGGACAGCGTGTGGGGCGGCGCTGGGACGCTGGTGTTCAGCTGTGCATGTCAAAGAGCCGAGAGCGTTTTCTACACCATGTGGATGTGAATGTCGGGGCAATTCCCAGCCTGGGTAATTCACGTCCCGCCTCCGGAAACGTCACTTCTGGGCCCGCTCTTCGGGCGCGCGGCCGACGCGGAAGGGCTGCTGGGGTCTGCGTCTCACGGGGGAAAGACGGAGATTGTCATTTCTACAGGGCCACAGCCTCAGGTTCTGCTCCAGCTCTGTCCTGATACTAGCCCCCTGGATGCAGTGCAAGCTGCGTGGATCGCAGGGTTTGGGCTACAGGCTGGGATCCAGAGGGACGAACGGCTCCAGAGAAACGGCTCCATCCCCATTGGCGCCAAAGCCAAAGCCAGCCCTGCCCAGGCAAGGTGCACGGAGCTCGCAGAGGTTCCCCCAAGAAGGACCAGGTTTGCAGTCCAATTCACTGGCGAAGTCAATGCAGGTTTGATTTTTTTTTTGGATCAATTGAGAAGCCATCCCCATCACTCCTCTGTGTGGGCAGATCCATCCGCTGCAGGCAAAGCCTTCCCTGAGCAGAGACCAGCAACGTGTCCAGACGGACCTCGGGCCAGCCACCCGCAGCGCTCTGGAGAAGTTTAGGGCTGCTCAGACCCTTGCAGCCCGGGCTGGTGCCGATTGGCAAGGGGTTGAGACGCTGAGTTTCCATCCCGGGGTGCCAAGAGCCAGAGCCAGACTCAAGGGGGAGAGCCCCGGCTCGGAGGGGCTGAGAGAAGCAGAGCCAGAGAGATTGGGAGACTCGGCAGTGCCCCCAAAGCCTCAGATAAGGCACCAGGGGCCAGAAGGCGCCTGGAGAGGGCGTGGCCTGGAGAGGGCGTGGCCTGCAAACTCAGGTGGCTGCTGGCAGAGCAATGGCGAGAAATGCCCCGGGGATCTCGGGAGAGCATGCAAGGGAGGGAGGGCCGCGTAGCCATCCACCAGGAGGCATTCTGGGTAAATGCATCTGGCTGCAGATTTGAACGGCTCCGGAGACGACGGGGGATGCTCTGACCAGGGCTGACGAGAGGCCTTCCTGCTCCAGCTGCTCCCTGCAAACTCCCAGCAGGGTGGCCAGGCCGCAGCTCTGGCCCAGCCGGGCACTGAATTGGGAGCAGCCGGGCCCCAGGAGGATCTGTGAACTCTCGGAAGGGCCAGCGAAGGAGCAGCTGTTCCATGCACAAGGAGCGAGGGGAGGCGTGGCAGTGCGGGCAGTGGGCGGGGGAGGAAAGATGCAGCGTGGCCGTCCCAGCAAGGTAGGGCACGTTAACCAGCGGGAGGCCTGGGGCACAGGGGTGGGAATCAGGGGTGTTAAATGGCGTTTAATCAGCTAATCGACTAGTCGATGGGACTTCCATCGACTAGTCGATTAGTTGATAATGTGGGGGCGGGGGGACTGCAGAGCCACAGTGGGGTTAGCTCCCAGCCCCGCTGCAGCTCTGCCCTTTCCAAGTATTCCAGGCTGAAGGGCAGCAGAGGGAACCAGGCGCGAGCTGGGAATCGGCCGATTGCCACTTTCGCCCAGTCCCCTGCTGCGCCTCTGTCCCCCCGCGGAGACGGTGCTGGGGGAACTGGCTTTTAAGCCGGCTTGTCCCAGCGCTGGCTCCTGCTCCCCCCTCCCCGCCCCCCACTGCCTCTCTCTGACAGAGGCAGCAAGGAGGGGGAAGCGACTCGTCGCGTACATCCCCGATGGGAATACCGAGCTTCTCGCCGCCCCTGAAACGCTGCCCACTAGCCTCAAAGTTGCCCCAGACAGGGAACCAGGCCCCGCTGGGGGCAGGCCCTGAACCCGGCTCTCCCCCCCGCACACACACACAGCTCCGGCACGCTCTGCCTCACCGAGAATTAACCCCTCCCGGGCCTTGGAGCGGTCCCACGGGGCTCCGGCCGGCTCTGGTTTAGTTGCTGGTGTCGGAGCTCGGTAGAGCCATCAGCCTCCTGGGGCAGCGGCCTTGGCCTTGCTGCAAAGGAGCTGTGGCAGCGACACAGAGCCCTCCCTGCAGAGATCCCTCTGGTCTGTGTGCCCGGGCGCATCTCGCCACCTGAGCTCCCGCCTGGGCTCTGCCCTTCTCCGCAGGACCGGAGCCCAGCTGGGCGCACCTCCCAAGCCCCCCGGCGCGTGGCGAAGCTCAGAGCCCGGCAGCATTGGGGCAGCGCGAGACACCTGCTGTCCTGAGACGGGGGCTGGCCCCATCTCCGCCTGGCCTGGCCTGGCCGCTCTCTTCCCTATCCCCTCGCTGCAGCTCCGGTCCATTCCTGACTCGTGGTCACCCTGCGCCTGCCCTGCGGGTGTACCAAGTCCTGGCTCCCCTCCTCAACCCTATTCCCTGCTCTTACGGGCACCTCAGTGGAGAACTGCCCCCATGACCATACACAGGCACAGGGTGCACGCGCCCACACCCACACCCACACAGTGTGTGTGTACATGTGGCTCTGGAGGTGCCTGGCCCCATCCTG